TAGTGATGTTGAACATGTTCCATGGGCTGATTTACCACCTGTGCAGTCGCCCTTCATGTGATGGTGGGATGCACTGAGAACTGCGTGGTGAGGTGATTGGGGCACCGTGGGAACATTATAGAGTGTACAAACACGCACCTGCATGGAGCACCTGACTATGCACCTTGGCTGGGGGAGTAGCCTATTGGTCCTGTTTTGTTTTTCAAATCCATTTTATTTCAAATAGAAAAATAACTAAAAATTTCAAAACACATCAGTCAGGGAGCACCAATAGTACATACATTGTACATTGTCATCCCCGAAGCATTCTTGTTTTTTGAGGAAAGGTTTCAGCAATCCTCCTGCTTCAGCCACCCAAGTACTAGGATTACAGGAATGCCTGGTACAAAACCCCTTAATAGTCTATATTTTCTGTAGCTTGGTTTTAGTCCTCTTCACATGGGCTTTTACAGGTTTTTATGGGGTCTGACTTACCAATTTCTTTCTCTTTTGGATTATACTTTTGATGTCAAGTCTAAGAGCTCTTTGTCTCACACTGGATCTCAAAATGCCCCCCGTTTTTAAAGTGGATGAATTTTACTTATGCTAAGTGAAATAAACCAGACTCAAATGGTCAAATGTTTCACAAGTCCACTGGCATTAATTAGGTATCTGGAACAGACAAATTCAAAGATACCAAGTAGAAAGAGGCTGCTAGGAGTGGAGAAAGGGAGCCAAAACTACTGCAAAGCACACACAATTCCTGTTTGGGATGTGAAAAGCCTCAAGGACTGGACGATGGTGATTACTGGATGGTGTTACTAATGTACTCAGTTCCAATTCATCAGGGCTGGGGACACAGCTCAGCAGCACAGCATGTGCCTGGTAGACGTGAGGTTGTGAGTTTGATTCCTGGTATAAAACAAAAACAAAAAACCTTCCAGAAAAGTTCCGATGAATTCCATGCTTAAAATGGCTAAAGTAGTACATTTTATGTTAAGTACATTTACCATAATGAAAATTTGTTAAATAGTTGAATATATTTGGAGTATAATTTTTTTCTAACTTCTAAAATACACCCTACCCACAGTTCCACACAGTTCCAACTTTAAGGTGGGACTTTTATCCATGCTTATTTTTCTTCTTAAAGATATTAGGGTCAAAAAATACATTCTTCTCCATTCAAATTGTATTCTTTCTCCTACAGTAATATAAGCAGTGATTCTACTTGCTGTGTGCAGCAAGCCTGAACAAAATCAGAAGTGAGAATACCTGGGTTCCAATTCTGGATTATTTCAGTCATAAACATCACCTTTCTTCGTAAAATAGCATAGTAAATTCATGGTTGAAGATGAGGTGAGAGGAGGTAAGGCCTGGAACTGATAGGGTGGTAGCAAGTTCTAGTTGCTCTCTAATCCTTCAGTTATACTGGGGATCCAAGACAGATCTAATGCCAATGTCCTAAGAAGCACATGGGTCTGCTTCCTGGAGCTGTTCCACACCCACTTGGCACTATGTGGGAGCTGGCCAGGCTGCGCTCTCTTGACAAATGAAGCCCCTTGCCTCCATCTTGCCCTGACCTTTACTTCAACCTTGTTCACTGAGACATGCAGAGCAAGCTACACAGAAGCAGATGTTCCCTTAATTTGCTGAAAGAACGTGATAAAGTCCAGATGAGATGCCATCATGTCTCAATGCAGCACCCAGGTGAGAGTTTCGTCTCCTGCTCATGGCTGGAATGGGAGCTTGAAGCAGGGCCAAGACAGGAGATAACATCTCAGCTGAGGCCATGGGACTCAGAAAGAATTCTACCTTCCTGGCAGTAAAGGTGCCAGCCTTGTATACATCAAACCATTTGTCGCATTGCTAATGGGACAGCCCTTGTGCCTGGTAAAAAATTGCTTTTTTTCTCCTGAGAGCCAATGCCTATAGTTTCCCTCCCCTAGCACTCTGCTTCAACCCCCACCTACCTCCCTGATAGATACCAGTAAGAGCCATGAACTTTTGGACTCATGGCCTTAGTTTCCACGAGAACACTGATCATCCCAGAGCTCACTGAGGGATAGCCTCTGTCTTATGCAAGAGAAAGACATATGTGTGCCATATTGTCAGTTGGGAGACCTGAACCCTCCGAAGGGTTTTCAGTAGCACTGCTTGGTTCAGGGAAACTGGCCTTACCTTGGGGCTAAGGGGAAGCAGGCTTCTTATCTGGTATGAAACCAGATTGTGAGTGGCTCTGGGTCTTTCATAAACGGAGATCAGGGCGCGAACTTGCTGGAAGTGGTATTGCAGTCCAACCTGGTACAGGTTTCCTCTCAGGTCTGCAGAGCTCCACACAGGAGCACATATATACAGAATTACAGGCAGCTTCATCCTGGACAGGCAACTCTAAAACACTACGCTCTTTGAGGTTTGGTGTGGCCTACTAGCTATGATGTGACAGGCTGGAGGCTTACATGGCAGAGTCTAAATTTCAAGTCCTTGAAATTCTTTGGGCAGCAGTTTATCTGTGAGACGAGGCCTGGACTTCTCCAAGATTGACTCTGAAACAAACTAGTGAGATTAGGAAAGTGGGGGGGGGGGGGGGGGCGGCAGGGGTCACATTCCAACTCTCACCGCTAGAGGTCACTATTACTCAGGAACTAGAAATAGAACTCATCCCTGGTTAACTGCCACAGGTAGGTTCTGGACACAAATCCAGAGTCTTGAGTCCTTTACATAAAATGGCACAGTATTCATATGTAGCCTATGATAGCCTCCCATAGACAGTGTACAGATCACAATGTAAATGCTATGTAAATCATTTTATGTTTAGGGTTGTGGTAAGAAAATCTGTTTCTGTTGAGACAATTAAAAACATGCATTTCATGCCTGGCTCTGAAAACTGCAGATGTGGAGGGTCAGCTATAACTTTCTTCTAGAACAATAGGCTCCTGAACGTAAAAACATAAAAACACTAAGTCTTTTCTAACTCGTTCAGCAAGCACTGAACACTTACATAACCCCGGCACTAATGCAAGGTGCCGGGATGAAAAAGACCATCTTGCCTTCAGACATGCAGCTGGCATGGGGACATGGACAGTCACACACTATGCCCCCAAAACCACCAATGCTAAGCCAACGAAACGAACTCTCTGTGAACAATCAACACACTGCATCCTTGGGAGACTGCTTCCCGCCCCTACCCTAGGCCAGATGTCCTGCTGCCCTGTACCTAGCAGTCCCTCTTCATATGGCGCCTGTTTGACGCCAGCCTCCCTGCCCAGACTTTAGATCCTGAGAGGACTGCTGTGTTCCTGGACTGAGCACAGCCATCACCTGCTGAGCTCATGCACGCTCTTCAATTGCTGGACCAACCCTTTACAATCTGACTACTGCAGTTAATCTACAACCCATGGCTCTGATGCCAGTCCCATTTTACAGGAGACACAGCAGTGACAGCAGCTACAGGGGTACGAGTGGCACAACTGTGAACCCAGTCTCATGCGATAAAAGCACAGCATCCTGTCCCCTTGAGCTGCTTCAGGACTTCTGTAATCAGACGCCACCCTGTGCATACAACCTAATCCACCATGCTCTTCAGGCGGCAAACCTGCTCCTTTCCTCTGCTGAGCAGCTCCCCTCCGCCTCAGCACTCCGCCCCTTCTCTCACCGGCTCCAGAGGGATGAGCCCCAAGTGAGCACTTATCTACACAAAATCAACCGTGTGCCCACCCATTAGAACAACGTTCTGAACTGTGAAGAACATCAATCCAAAAAGGTTATCAAGACTAATATTATTGGGGCTGGGGATTTAGCTCAGTGGCTTAAGCGCCTGCCTGGCAAGCGCAAGGTCATGAGTTTGATCCCCAGCACACACACACAAAAAAGACTAATATTATTGAAGGTACTGGACATTTCATTTCTCAACCACCCAAGTAAAAACAAAAATCAAATTACTAACCTACAGAAAATGTCATGTGATTTAGGTTTTTCACGGCAATATTTGTAATGTTTTCAGTGAAACCATATACTAAGAACTTTATGTCTAAATTGTTTTTACTGTGTAACGGCTAGAGAAACATATCTGAATCTGCAAAAATGTAGAGCACTAGTCCATGTTTTTTATTTCTTTTCATTTGTACTGTATGTTTTTCTTGAGGACACCATTCAATCATTGAATTGTCAATCAAGAGATTACTAGGAATCTAAAGAGAAAGCGGAACATAATTAACGGAAGAACCTCCAAATGGAGCATATTTCTGAAACTTGTCCCTCTAAGGCTTCTTGTTTCTGAGATAGCAGGATGGTCCACACACCCTCAATGTCTACGCCAAGAAAACAGGTGTCAGGAATAGTACCTTGCACTTCTGCAGAGCTCTAGTGATCTCAGTTAGGACCACAGAAATTAGCCCAGGCTCTTGTTTTAGACAGGAAAAGAACAAGAAACCCCTGGCATGATCTAGGTGACAAGAATGGGGAGATAAGACCAGGTTGCCAAGTCCTGCACATTTTCTTCACGATGATGACCACTGCCACACCAGCAAGTTTCACATGGGCCGGCACTTAACTCCCTAATGCTGGCTAGCATCTACTGCATTACTTAGCATACCTGGGAGTTTCTTTCAAAAATAAAAGTGCTTTAAAACCTTCTTGAGGAACAATCTGATCTGATCCAAATGAGGGTGGAAAAAGTACAAGCACTGGCAGGGCTCTACGACATGACAGACACAGGCTGTCAATCTGACTGCCAGGCCCCAAGGCAGCCCCGCACTTCCAGGGCTGGGTGGCTGGATGGCTGCCGCCACTGCTCCTGCCTTGCCTGCTCCAGGCTCTCTAGGTTGTCAGGAAGCTCTGCAGACATCTAGAGCTGCGTGTGGCGCACAGCAAAGGCTCAGTCCACTGTGCCCGCTGTCTCTGTTCCATGGCCATCTTTAACTGTACTGCTGCTAAGAGAAAGAGGCATTCCTGTCTTGTGATCTAATTTTTGTGCCCCTCTGCACAATAATTATTTTTGCAATTTGAAATAAATACAAGACATCTGATAGTTCACCTACTTTAATAACATAACACATATACCACGTTGTCGCCGTGGAATGTAAGTTCAAGTTAGATAAGGGGATTTTACAAATATTTACAACCATCCTACATTGTATTCAAGTTGTGTATAATGTGTGACCAAATCAGCTTGCCCATAACCCAACTCAGCACTGCCGTTTTGGGTAAAGGGTCTAATGTTTACAGTTCTCACAGAGGAAATGAACATTCTGCATACATTTAAAAAGTGTTCCTTTATCTGTGCATTAGCCTTAAATACTTCTATTTCCAGATGACAATTAGAAATTATTCTAATACAACAGCAGCAAAAATATAATTCTACAATTATAAAAGAGCTAAACTGAAAATCATGGTTAAGCTGTTTACAGAATGTGATTTACAAATGTGATTCTGAAATAACTACTACTTCTATGCAGCTCTGATGTAAGTTTTCTAGGTTTGAACACACACACACACACACACACACACAGGTCCGGTGGGGGAGGGTTTGTAAGTAATATCTCATGCGTATTTTGAAAGAGTTCGTCAAGAGTCAGCCAATCCTAAGAACTGAAGTCCTCTCAGCAGTCCGCAAGGCAGACAAACGACAGCTGAAATAACAGCCAGCAGAATCCCTACACACTGTGCAGGGCGTGTGATACCTGGCAGCAGACCGGGAGCACTTCAGGGCTGGCCTGCTGAAGACTGATTTTGTCATGAGGGCTTAGGGACAGTGGACCTTTGAACACTTTCAAATGCACATGGGTGACCTGTTTCTTTCATGGTGACACCGCGAGTGACGCAGTTAGTGAACTAGTCACCACTAACTTTGGGCATTAAGTATGCGAGGGAAAAAAACATTATTCAAAACATTGTAATCTAGTCTGAACCAACTCAAGTGATTTATTTTCGATACAAATTCGTAACCTAGACGTGAGATGTCTAACTAAGCAAGCGCCTTCAAAAAGACCAAGCAGGCATTTCTTCTTCTTCTAAGGTTTAGGCTTTGCCCAGAACTCCCGATACAGGGAATAGCCCATACCTGAAAGAAAAGAACACTGGTTAAGCATTGCGACATTTCCTTAACATTAAAAAAAAAAAAAAATGAAACACTTGGCAGAATAGTGAACAGCATCACCTAAAACTATCAGTATAGACTGTAAACGGGGGAACAAGACCCAAGGAGTATTACTTTTTTGTATTCTTGAACAACTTAAATTTTGGAAAAATTTTTAAATATAATTCATTCACAACACTGTAGTTGTTTTAAAGAACAACGAATACCTAGCATCTTTAAAATGAGGCAATTTTGTTATATAATTCCAGATAAATAAATCAAACAAAGGATGTTACTATTCACACTTTTAAAAAACACTCTCTTCTACCTTCAAAGACTCAGTAAAACAGCAATCACACGCCCTCCTCAGAACACGGATGTCACCACCAGCCCTGTCTGCATGGATCCCTTCTCAATGAAGTTAAGTCAATGGTGGAAGGAATTTTTCCTTTCTTTAAAGTCTTAGAATATATCACAGAATCTCTCTTCCTCTCGCTGTCTATATGTATCAATGGATATCATGGTAAACAATGTTAGTTATTTTTATTTTTTTTGCATGAAAACAAGTGATACTTGAAGACTGCTTCAGTGTTAACTAAAACCCACCGCACTGTCCCATCTTAAAGAACGGCACTGACCGCAGATTTGAAAACCTCCCTAGGAACCTACCCAGGGTCATCGCTCCCACGACAAAGCCCTGAGCCGCCACGCGCATGTGGATCAGGTGCACGGACATCTTTGTGTCTCCCCGGCTCTTCAGCCGGTATAACCCGTATGCCACGATTGCTGCGAAGCCCGCCATGCCTGCAAAACCAATGGTCATGGGGCTGTTAACGTGCTGCGGGAGAAAACCAGCCAATTCTGTCATCAAATCGATTTACTTTCTATTATTTTTCTGAGGGCTTACAGTATCCTTAACTAACTGATCTGAGGAGCTTATAATTTTTTTCCTCTCAGAAACAAAATCTGTAACTCATAGCAAATAGTAGCAAACCCAGAAAGTCAGGATTACCTTTTAAATGTGGGTTTGTATGCCTGTAACCCCAGCACTCTGGGAGACTGAGACAGGAGGATGGCAAGTTCCAGGCCTACCTGTGAGACTCACTGACCAGCCAAACCTTGTCTCAAAACAAAACAAAACAAAACAAGTCTATGTGTTTGTGGACCTAACAGATACATTCCCTTAAAAGAGCATAGGGGAATTAAGCTAATTAATGATGATTACAACAAAACGAGTGTGGTATCTTCAGTTATGGGTGAACTTACAGCTCTTGCTCTCTGCTCTGCCTCCCTCCCTGCAGGTAATCAGGTAATGTAAAAACCCTGCACACTGCATCACTGACACAGAATTATAGATTCCATGCAGAGCCAAGGTCCATTCATTTTTTTTTTAATCGGTACCGGGGATCGAACTCACGACTGCCTGCTTCCAAGGCAGGCGCTTATGCCGCTGAGCTAAATCCCCAGCCCCGGTCCATTCATTTTGATGGCAAAACATTCACAACAAGACTGTGTGTTTTCAAAGTACACCACTCATGACCTCCTTCCTGGAGGAATCATCCAGTCAAATAGGAAGAGTGAGTCAGAGCAGTGCAAGAAATAAAGTACCAGCTGGGCACAGGGGCACAAGCCTGGAATTCTAGCTTTTGGGAGGCAGAGGCAGGAGGATCACAGGTCCTCCTGGGTTCGTCACAGCCCAGCCTTGGAACCCTCTCTAAAAAGAAAGAAAGAAAGACAGACAGACAGACAGACAAAAAAGGAAGGAAGAAAAAGAAATGAAAACAAAAGAATGGAAAATGGAAGGTATAATGTGTGAGATACAGTGGTGAGCAACAGAGCCAGTAAAACACACTGGTTCCTTCAAAATGAGTGCAATACAGAAAAATTCGTGATAATCTGGAATTAAGGTTATGACTGCTACAACAAAAATATGAGTGCTGAAAGTCTTGAGTTAGGAAATAAATTTATGTTCATCTTAATAAGTAAAAAAATCATATTCTCTAAAAAATGTAAAAATATTCATTGGCAGTATTCGAAGAGAACTTCCAAATCATTACAAGAAAAAAAAAAAAAGAAAAGAAACATCAAGTAGACATACAGAAAACATGAAGTAGATAGCAGAAATAAAACTAAAGAACTTATTAGGATAAATATGAATATAGGTTCACTTCCTTTACAGGATTCAAAAAAAACCCTGGACACACACTTTACATAGGAGATAAAAGTATGCCATTAAAGAGTTAAAACATCTTAAGCTATTAAATAATCAAGTCAATAGAACAATAGCATACATGAAGCAAAAATGGTTAGCAACACAGGAACACTAAAGATCAAATAAAAAGTTAACTTGTCTCTTTTAGAAAACTAGAGTTGAATGATACCATTCAATAAACTTAAATTTAATAAAATTAAAATTTAAATTTAATGACACAAAATTTGAATTCTGAAAAAAACTATAGTCTTGAGTCCATAAAACCCAAAGCAAACAATCAGAATATAAACAGTCACACAGCCCCACTGCTAAGCACTGAGAAGTCACATACCTCCCAGGGGGTCTGGAGGCCAAAGCAGAGCCCTGCAATTAGGGAGCTTGCACAGTTCACTAGCACCCCGAGAGACAAGAGCAGTGGTTCTTGGAATAAGCAACTGTCAAACCCCTGGTCAGGTCAGAGACAGAGAAAATGCGTACAGCACAAACCACAGAAGCGAGACTGCACTGGAAGAGGCGGGAAATCAGCCTGGGGGCACCCATCAGCTTCCCTCCCTGTGTATCTTCTAGGCTTAACTTCCCTAGGTCTTGGGCATTCCCAGATGCTTTCCCTATCATGACAATAACCTTTTCTCTTGATTGGTTCCAGTCGTTTTTCTGTATTTTTTCATGTCTAATGCAAATGTTTAGGGCTCCAAACTACAACAGCAATGTTCACAGGCATCGCTGGCTTATTCCTGACTTTAAAAAGAATGTTTCTAGAGTTCCCACACTAAGTGTAGTTGGTATTTGCTTCTGGTTTCCAGAATCAACTCTACTCTAATATGCTGATTTTTCATTCTCTAGAGATCATGTCATTTTACTTTGTTAATCTGTCTCACAAGGCCTTCATGGGCACTGCATGCCTATGTGACTGTCCCTAATACAACCTGAACACAGGTGTGGTGGACAATGGGTGGCAGTGCTTGCGTCAGACACTGTGTGACTCCACTGGGCGTGAGCACATGGAAGCTGGACTTCACATCCTGCCGACTTTAACCTGTACCTTTCTGTTCTAATCAACTGTAAGTGTGACTGTAACAGAGTCTGAGGGTGGTCTTGGAATCCCCCAAAGCATTATCCACCGAAAACAACAGAATGAAATATCTGAATATACAAAGAACTCTTATGATGGGATTTATATCATGCCAATCAGAGCATATTTCAACCATAAACATGTGCAAATAAATTCTGTCAGATTATGCTCCATGACCAAGTGCACCTTGCGTTCACTGTTTTACACTGATGGTACACTTACTAGAATGCCTAGGACAAACGTACCAATAGGGACAAATGGCGCCTCTTTAGCTTTCCGGATAAGTTTAGATCCCTGATCTTCATCATATGAAGAAAGAGAAACATCTGTGTTGCTTGACATCGTGACTGCTTGAAGAATCTTCCTGAAAGAGAACTTCTATGAGGTTCAGTAATTAGAGGCACCTACAACGTTAATAATAAATACCTGAATGAACTCAGAACATCCTGTTTCCATGAAAAACCTGCTATTATCCATGAACTTCAAAAAATATTTCTTGAAATTAAGTGTTTTCATGTATAGCCACTTTTAGAGTTATATACAATATCTTTTTTTTTTTTTTTGGTCTTTTTCATTTTTATTGGTACCAGGGACTGAACTCACGCTGCCTGCTTGCAAGGCAGGCGCTTATGCCGCTGAGCTAAATCCCCAGCCCCTATAATATCTTTTTAACTGATTATTAAAGAGGGCAATTTTTTAAAAAAGTTAAACTTTCATCAAGTACAATACCAGTTATTAATTACCTGGCTATCTTCATCTCTAATCAACTTCAACTTGACAACGTCTAGGTACTCAAGCCACAGCTGTAACCCCTACTGCCACTCCAGTACCATGTGGGGAACCCACTAACTAGTGTTAAGTGTGGCTAAGCGCAGGCTTTGTTGCTTTCAGCTGCTGACTTAGTAACTCCGACAGCCGCCTGGTTCCAATCCGGCTCTCATCGCTGCCTAGCTTCCAATAATCTCCAGTTTGGTAAGAGTACAAAAATGTTTGTCTTATTATTTATTCCTTTTAGAAATAAAGACTTATTTTAAATAATGTTGCTAGACAAGGCTCCTTTTAAAGGTTACATTTAACTGAATAAACCACATAGCCTTGGGGTTATCATACATCACCTCAGCAAAAAACGGAACTTCTTACTAAACAAAGTGTCTTTCCAGCCCAGATCTGCCTTCTCCTACATAGCTTCCTCACATTCCTCAGGTATCTTCCAAGAAAGGCAAGATACTAGTCTGACAATTACATGAACAAGAGGGCACGTAGAAATTTTTATCTCCATGGTCAGGAGGAGCAAAACTGCTCGTCCCTTTCAGCATCTCTTGTGCAGGGACGTGGGCATTCACCACCACAGGACAGTAACAAACTCAATTCACCTTGGTCACAGAGCTGTGTCTTCGCTTCCCCCTCACACAGCTGTGAACTACCAGTGCACTTGACTGATAGGTAAGATAAGGGAGTCAAACACAGTATGCCAGGTTCGAGTCTCTGGTTAGTCTCAGTTACGACAGACTCCAGTCAACTGCGGGCCCACCACCTACAGAAACCTTCACTTCACATTTTCCATGTGCATCATCACACTTGCCCTTCGAAAGGGAGTCCCTCATGCAGCAGCCTGCTTCTGGGGGCAGGGAGAGCACCTTTAAAGAAAATGCAGCTCTAGGGCCTGATGGTAGCATGTTTAGTTTGAAATTTTTCGGCCCACATCTCAATGCCACTGAAGAGTCAATCTTGGCATCCAACAGAGAAAAAAACCCTTAGCTAGATAAGAGAAAACGGAGAGTGGGACTAGATCTTTTCGTTTTTGTATTCCCTTATCTCCTAACTGACTTAAATCTTCTCAACTTTTATTATGTACAAAGTTCAATAGGCTCAAGGAGCAGGATGCTCACTGTATTGAAAAACTAGCAAATAAATACGAAAACAATGGTTCAAAACTAGACACTGTTGAAAAAGAGAGACGACAGAGTGTGGTTATCAGTATAAGAGAGAATGAGAACTGAATTTAGACCGATGATATCTTTAGCTGAAGGTCTAAGGTCTTTGACTAAAGAAACCACCTACACAGACTAGAAGGAGCGCCTAGACCCGATTCTTAGGCAGACACATTTATTAGCTGCCTTCCAGTGCACGCACGAAGTCCTCGGTACAAGCTGTGCTCACTGCACATCCTTCATCTCCCCTCCCTGCTACACTGAACTCCTCTGCGATACGCTCTCTGCTTCAAGCCTTTGCTTCCTACCTCAGTTTTCCTCTTTCCCCATCTTCTAACTCCAGAAACCTTCCTGGCTAACTCCTTTTTTTCAGGTGTGCACCTTACTCAGGCCTCTGCAAGTCTTCTCTGATTCCCTATGTTTATGATGAGTGTTTTGGTGATGAGGTCCTACAGAAGCCAGTACTATCTTTCAGCACCATCTCCCCTCAGTTACTTGTTTAACTGCTTTTGTTGCTGGAATCCTGGAAGTTAGAGCCTATACTTGCTCTGTTTATCTCTCTCCATGACCTGTTGCAAGGTCCTGTGTATAGCAAGTACCCCAAAATGTTTGAGTACATTTAAAGTTATGTTTCTCAACCATTAAGATTATTTTCAATCTTTTCATAGTAGCTGTCCTTATCTTTACATATGCTGAAATTGAACTTAAGAGACTAGACTAATATCACTCTGTGATGGTAGTTATTATTGTCTTCCCCAATGTCAGATCTTGCAGACCTAAAAAGCCTTCATCATCCTGTAATGATTTGATTAGTTCTATAATATGCAGTATGTATTTAATGTGTGTGAAGATGGGGACAACTACTTGGAAGAAATTAGAGACAATTAGATAGACAGTGAAGATCTCCAGTGGACTTGCTTTGAAATCTGTATTTTTTTAAATTGGTTTTTTTTTTTAAACTGTTTTGTTCTGTTTTGATATGTTTAATCTTACCCTCTTTAAGATATAAAACAAGTGTGTAGGACTGATAACCATATTACTAAGTTTTTGTTGGATCATTGAGCAGAACTGTTGGCAGTGTCACTATTTGAATGTCATTTTACATACTTTATTTTTGTAACCTGAACAGCTATTTCTAAGATGACAATATGTAACTTATCAACTGGCGATTTCTTACCATTTATTTTTCTGTAATTCTGTATTATTCCTACCCTTTTTTAATCTCCATGCATTTTTTCTTTCTCTTTAAATAAAAAGATTATTCTCAAGTTATGTATTTACAGTAAGAAAGTTACACATCTGTAGTTTAATCAGTTAAAAAGGCAGACTCCACATAACTCAGTGCTTTTCTCATCCAGTTTTTCATTTTGTCTATGAAAAAAGAAATGATGGCAACCACAAAACAAAATGGTCACAGGCCACAATGCTTTTTATTTTTTTTGAATATATTTATTATAGAAAGAAAGCTTCTGTCTGAAATAGAAGGGGTCCCAGTGGGCCCCACAATGCTTTTAAAACTAAACACTTGTGCAGTGTTTTCCTGCTTTGCCTAAATCATTCCTAACCTCAAAGAATCACTTGATGAGTCTTTGAAAGAAGAGAATTGATAGTTTTCCCTCTAATTATTTCAAGTGTGCATGAATGTCCAGCAGGTCTTACTTTCAGGAGGACTGAAGACGACTGCAGTATCTCTTAACTCTGCACAGAAGAATAGAAGAAAATCTGCTCTTCGCTCCTCACCTGTGACACAGACACTGGAGTTTTGTGGGTAGAATGTTTGACCTGGTTTCCTGTGGCTAACAATCAGGGCGTGGGGAACTTGTGATCATTGTTTGCTTTAAAGGACCCAGAACACATCATGTGCACATTTCTGGATAAAACTAGTAAAGAAGAATATTTAAAAATCCAACATATATCATAGTTGTCAGAAATTCTAAGTTCTGGTCCAGGGATAAAGCTCAGTGGCATAGGCACCTGCCTGGCAAGCACAAGGTTCCAAATCAATTCCTGGTACCAAAAACAAAACAACAACAAAAAATCCTATTTCAAATTATAGCTTTATAGCTGTGCGTGGTGGCACACTCCTGTAATCCCAGTGGTCAGGAGGTTGAGCCAGGAGGATCGTAGAAAGTTCCAGACCAGCCTGGGTTACAAAGTGAACTCAAGGCCAGCCTGAACTGCATAGTGTGATCCTGTCTCAAAAAGATCAAAAAACAAAAACAAATTATAGCTTTATAATCTTATAAATTATGTAACTCTAATGTATATGTCTGAAACATGTTTTAAACATAAAATTTTGATTATCATCTCAATTACCACCTAAAAGTTTCCCAAGTATTCAGGATTTACAGCCATTTAAATTCAAGGTGTTACTCTTTTAAAGGTTCAAGGTCAATAACCTCAAACGATGTAACTTGAGAGTTATACATGAACCAAATGATTACTGATGTCTTCATTTTATAGGCAGGGAGAAGGTTCTAAAGGGTTGTATGAATTGCTCAACACCAGGAATACATCTCTGGCAGAGGAGGATTAAAATCCAGCTCTTCTGATACACAACCCAGGGTCTTTTTAATTGACATATTAGTAAATAATCAATCTGACAATGCTGGTACAAATTTAATCTGAAAATATAAAAGTCCATTCCTCAATAAGAGCCCACAATGCTGTTTTGATTTGTAAAGAATGTGTAAGTCATGCCTAAAGTTAAATGGAATCTTCTTCCCCTAACTCATCTAGCAATTTCAACTATCATCTGAAGTCTTTTCACTAGATTTTGCTTTATTATTTCGTCACCCTGATTGATCCATATCTGTCAGAAAGCCAGTCAGCTGCAAAACACAGCACAGACAACCAGACATTGAAAGCCAATGTGTAGAATTCTAATTATTCTTTGTTAAGACACCACTGAAGCTGGGTGAGGTGTACTAACAAGATCACGAGGAGTTGGAGACCAGCCTGGGCAAAACAGTGAGTTCAAGTTCGGCCTGAGCTACATAGCGAGACCCAGTCTCAAAAATTAAAAAAAATTAAAAGAACCAAAACCAAAACAAATACACACACACACACACACACACACACACACACACACACACGCTGAAGACCTTTCTGAACCAAAACAAATCTCTCTCTCTCACACACACACACACACACACACTAAAACCAGCATCCGGTGAGGTCACAGGCTGAAGGATCTTCATGGCCTGACATTTTGGCCACAAGGAGCTGCTGTCTACTGTAAGACTCGGTTTCAAACGGAGTTTGCATCCGTCACCTGTCGGCTTGCTGAGGACGGCTACCGAGCTTAGTCCGGTAGAGTCAGCTTCGAATCTGGGCGGGACCCAGGAATGTACTGCGAGGAGCCCCTCCGACGTGACAGCAGAGCACAGAGAAGCCAGGAGACCCTGAGTTCACAGGATGCACTCGCGGCCCATCTGAAGCAAGGAACCCAGGACCCGCTTGGATCCAGACACCTGTCCTAAATCAGAGCGCCCCGGCACTTCCGGAAGCAGGCTTTCTGGGGACCGCCCCGCGGAGAGACCGAGCAGCTACCCCGGAGGAGACAAGCGCCGGCGAACACCACGCTGAATCGCATCCCTGGGCTTTCCTTCCCGCCGGCCGCCGGCAAGTGCGCTGGGCAGGAAAAACTTTTCCCGCTCCATGGACACACCGGCCGAGCAGAGCGACCCGTCTCCGCCTTTCCGATGACCTTGTCGGGCTCCGCACCCCATCTCTGTCCCCGCCCGCTCTCCGGAGGCTCCGAGCCCCAGAGGTCCGCCTGCCACCACGCGTCCTCCCCTCACCGCGGCCCGGCTTCACCCCGCCGACCCCGGCTTCCGCTGACCTTCGCCTCCGCGGGACTGGAGCCCTGGTCCCGCCACCGAAGCGACGCCCTCTTGTTCCAGGCACCGCCCTTCCACTCAGGACCCTTCCACGCTTCCCCCCGCGCCCAGGTCACAGGGACCCTCGCGCCTCACTCACCGAGAGACACCTAACACCTCGAGCTCCGCCGGTTCCTGGCCTCAGCCGGTTCACGTCCACCTACTCCCTGTCCCGCCCACAGCCTTCGCTAGCCAATCAGAAGCCGGAGGCCGACACGACGGCAAGAGCGCGTAGTGCGTGCGTGTGCGCGCTGGGTGGGGCGGCCCGGAACGGGTCTCAGATTGGCTGGGCACCGCGGATGGGCGGGGCTCTGCGTCCCGGCTGTGCTACGTGCGCGACGTGGGAACCGGGCGTGTAGGACCTGGGTCAGGTCTCTTGAGGTTGGCCGGTGTCCCCAGGGTACCTCGAGTTTGCCCCGCCCTTTCCTCGCCCTTTTCTTCTCACAGCCTGCGGGCATGGAGGGTCTAGGGGCGAGGGGTCCTGGGAGGCTGGGTCGCGGTGGGCGCACGCGCTGACGCCTGCGTTCTGTGGCGTCCGCGTTAGGTGGCGGGGGCGCCCTGCACCGCGGGCAGGGTTTCGGGGAGGTGGGGGCGGCTCTTGCCTGCACTTGGCCTCTGGAGACGGGCTTCTGATGGTCACGGAGCAGATTCCTGAGTGGGGCTATCTGTGCCTGACTTAGCTCGCAGTATAGCAGAACTAGGCAGACTGCCAAGTGCTGTGGCCAGCAGGTGGGTACTAAGTGCTGTGATCCACGATTTTAAAAATCGTCTGCGCTAACACACGCACGGGACGCGTTTTCATGCTACAGTGATAAATGCGAAACTCCGTGTCTTGATTGTGTGGGAGCTTTCATTCCTTGAAGGCACACATCTTGCCTCCGTGGATACTTAATTTTGTGCTCAGTGGGAACTCATAACGGTGGGTGAAGAAACGACTTGCAGGGCCTGAGAGATAGATAAGCATAATCAGGGACTCTTTCAGGATGATTAAAATTCAGGAGCCCAGCTGGGCAACATGAAGGTGAAGCAGAAATCATACGTTCTTTATTGCTGGGAATACAAAGTCTACCAACAGCAGTGACCAAGGCGTGTTCCTTGCTGAAGGAGTATATACACCTCACAGTAGTGTTCACTAACTTGCTGGCTTCCAGGCAATGGGGTAATGGGGCCAGGCGGAGCCAGGTGGAGGTCACTTTGGGCTTCACCTCTTAAAGTGTGACATTTTTCACTTTTGCACCGATTAAGCCAATTGTTTTAGACTTGATGCTGATGGGAAAGATGTTAGGCATGCTGGTGTGTGTGCCCTCGTCATCCCAGCTCTCAGGAGTCTGAGACAGGACACAAGTTCAGGCCAGCCTGGGCCAAATAAAGTCATGTAGATGTTAAGTAGCAGAGACCTAGGATTGTAAAGTAGGAGTTTTGTTGCTCCTCCATAATTGGGAGGCATGTTGTAACAGCAGGTAATTTGTAGGACATAGAAAAGAATTGCATTTTTATACATGCTGAACTCAGACTCAATATTACACAAACACACAGTATGCAGCTATGACTGCAGGAAGATACACCCTTGTCCCCCAAACTCTTTCTCTTGAGGGCACTGTTACATACTAAACAGACTTACTGTTGGTCTGATCCAATTTGAAGTGACTTGAATTTTGGAGAAGGAAGACTTTATCTTTTGACAAAAATGTAACCACCCTGTTGGTTGGGTTAAGAGAGAAAGGTTAAGAAAGGCAGAGAAGAATGTCACAGGAGATTAGACAACAGTACTGACATATTTCTCCAATTCTAAAATAATGTATTGTTTAAAAAGTAATATTTTATACTGAGATTGGTTACAAAGTCGGTGTAGCTTTCAGTCAAGTCTTAATGTCTGAAGTAATGAGATATAAATCAGGTTGAAACAAAGCTACTTTATGAAATTATTTAAAAAGACTTGTTTTGTGGTCGCATATGCCTGTAATCCCAGCACTCAGGAGGCTGAGGCAGGAGGATCACCAAGAGTTCAGGGCCATCCTAAACTATATAGCAACACTGTGTCTCAAAAAAAAAAAAAAAAAAAGGCTTGGTAAGCCAGCTTCACTTTCTCATTGTTTTGAATTAAGACTGACACATCATTTGCCTTTTCTTTCCCTGGGGGTTGTACAGTACACAACAGCCCTTGTCTGGCTAGGAGTGGCACAGTGGGACTGAGTTGTGTGGCAGGATCTTGATGAAACTAGGGATGGGTACAGTTTTCCCCCCAGTTTTTCAGATCTTCCAAACATTGCTGTGTGAGTGAGCCAAGATGTAAATGTTTAGAAATGGTTTAAAACAGCACATTCTAAACTTTGTCTAAAGATTTAGAGTGTGTTAGTTATTAGAGGGACTTTAGGGATCTCCTGGGCTATTTTTTTTTTCCTGAGGCTTCAGATTTTGAAAATTGGGATAGTTTATCTGGCATCCTTCCTGGCAGACTCTGAATAACAAGTCTGAGAATCCGTTCCAGGTTATGGAATCAGATCTCTCAGTATTGTGCTGTCGTTTAAAACTAGAACTTTTAACAAAAGTGGTAGGTGCTTTTCAGCCTTCCTTTGATTCAAATCCTAGTTGTGGTGAGGTGACTGATGGTTACATAATGTGAACTGTAGTGTTTTGTTGGGTTTGATTGCAGTAAGGCTCTGTAATTTATTTTACTTAGCATCAGGGACATTGGAACAGCATGTGAACAATAAAAGTGAGACCTTTTGCAAGGAAAAACTTGTTCAAGAGCCATAGTTCAGCCTTGGTTTTAGTTTTTTTATGATCTGTTTTAAACACGTCTGGTAAATGGATAATAATGTCAAATGATTTGCTGTGCCTCATCTATTTAGAAATAAAAAGTAAAGAAATTTTAACTTTAATATATTGTTATTCTTTTCTGCGTCTTTGAAATACTTCACTGTTTCAAGAGTATAAAAACTCACAACCTCCGTATTGTTAGAAAGTTTTATTTTCTTTTTCTTTCATGCCCCAACAAGGAATAGAACATGGAATTTATTCCATAGTGAGATGTTTTTAGTTTTCATGGCATAATTAATGACTTTAGCCTCATTCTGGCAAACTTGAATTCTTTTTTTAAGTTAGAACAGGTTCCTATTTTACCCAAATTGAATGTGATAACTAAGGAAAAACTTATGTTCCGGTCAGATAGAAGTTTTGTTTTCTGTTTGTATGAGAAATTTTCTTTCTCATTAGTAGAAACTAAAATCTTGGTAAATGCTACTAAGTACTGCGTCTGAAACATAATCAGATGACACAGGACTTTTTTAAGATGGAGATTATTCTGCATATTTTATTTACTGTGCTAAGGAAACAACAGTGAGATTGTGTCTTTCATAACAGTTACAGTTAGTAACAAATACGAGATGTATTGTTTTGTCTTTTGAAACTACTAATGTAGAGACTTAAAATGATTGGCCTCTCGGGTGTTAGATGATCTCAGCTTGGTTTTACAGAAGGACAGCGTGAGGTGTCTGCAGACATGGCCCTGGTGGGGGCACCTCCCTGGCTCTGCTTCACGGAGCTGTCAGGCATAGTTGTGTCTACCACAAAGGAAAGAGACTTCTAAACTCAGAGTCTGTTTAGGCCAAGGCCCACCTTAAAGCTGCATTGGCCTTTCTTGACATCCTTTCAAAATTCTGTATCATGCTGGGCGTGGTGATGCACGCCTGTAATCTCAGCACTTGGGAGGCTGAGGCAGGAGGATCCTTTTGTAGCTACAAAATGAGCTCAAGGCCAGCTTGAACTGCAAAGTGAAACCTTGTCTCAGAAAGACAAAAAAAAAATAAATAGAATTTTGTATTTTTGTTTTAAATGATTGTTAAACCTTTTGAGATGATTGGTTATATCCACAGTCGCCTGAGTGGTCATTGAACATGTGTCTTGTGCCAGCTACCTGAACTGGACGCAAGGTAAGGACTCTGTCCCTGCCCAGAAGTAATGTGTAGTCTGAGTAGGAGACAGAAAGGGACAGACTGTCGGGCCTAGATGGGGCTTGCAGGTAGGGGTCTTAGTGGGAAGAGCAGCTTCAAAGCTTTCTTGGAATTACAGCGTGAGGACAAATACCTGGGAGGATGTCTGGGAAAGAGGACACGGGGTTGCAGCTCAGTCGTGGAGGACAGCGAGAAGGAAAAGAGGAAGCTGTGACTAAAGCAGCCTTAGAGTCGTGGGAAACAGGCCTGGGTCGTGTCCGTGAGGACCTCACTACTAATTAAAGAACTTGAGTGGCTTCCTGTTAGATGTCAGGAAGGGTTGGAGTGGGAGGTTGATGGGGAGCCAAGTGCCTCTGAGGCCTCGGGGTGGGGTGGGGTGGGGCTGTCAGCCTGGCTAGGCCAGTCTTCTGCATGGGGGACTCAGACTACGGTTTGCTCTGCTGCTTGGAGTTCTGTGATGTTGAGCAAGTTACCAAGACACTGGAGCTCGGCTTCTTCAGTTGTCCAGTATCAGACCCACTCGACAGCATTCACGGGAGTGTTAACCTGCGTAAAACATCCTGCAGGCAGCAGGTGCTGCATGAGCTCTTCGAGGTACTTTTGTGCTTTGCCTGAGGTCCTACTTAGCTAATGTATGGACACAACTGATAATTGCATCGGTGTGTGTTTGTGTTTTCAAATATATTTGTTAGGTGGTTTTTCTTTTTTTTGTTACTGGCAGTTGAACTCAGGACCTTGTGCTTCCAGGCAGGCACTTATGCAGCTCAGCTATGTCCCCAGCCCCTCAAAGGTGTTTGTTTACTGAGGATTTGCATAAAAATCCTAAGTATCGCATGCCCACAAATGGCATGGTGTACTTTAGCAGAGAAAAAGCAGAGTTCGCCTTTGTGTGTGTGAGCACACACAGTACTGTGGTGCTAGAGATTGGACCCAGGAGTGTGTACACGCTCAGCACAAGCTTCCCCCCGACCTGTACCGTGGGCCCTAGAGTTTGTACATTTAGTTTACATGGTCTCACACTTTTATGTCACTGCTTTAATCAAGCACATAAAATGTTTCTCCATCACTAATCAAAGTGACAGCAGGATCTATGTGTTTATGCAGCAGGGAGCTAAAACCCCTTTAACATGTTATCGATCTGATTGTTCCACTAATGAACTTAGCATGATTTGTTATTGTTGTTCTGGGCAGTGGAAGACTTACAAGTAGTAGTGAGAAAAGGGTGGCATGGACGGGGGCTGGTATGGGCACCAGGATTGCACTGTGCTTGTGTCTGGCAGATGCGGCTTTGCATAACAGCTTCCTGAGCATTGTGGCTTTGCAGTTACTAAGCTTTTCAGAACCCCCAACTTTCTGTCAACAAAATGGGGATATTAATGCTAAGGAGCAAGTAATTAAATGAGCGTATGTCAGACTCCAGGAACAGCGGTGGGATGTGATGGATGCGCAGGACTTGCTGGTTCCCCTCTCCAAATCAGTCCCTTGCCCTTGCTGCTCTGTTTCCAAGGCGTAACCAGCAGCGCAGCCTCAAGAAAACCATTGCCTTTCTTCCTTAGGCCTTCAGGTTTCTCCACCCTGCTCTTTCCTTCAGTCCTATCTTCCATTCCTAGCATCAGTGCTGACCCTTCTGTGCTGAGGGCACGGAGGAATTCTGCCCGCTTGTTCCCGCCCCGCTCCTGTGCACTGACCTGCAGCAGGCAGCTGCAGTGGGCATTTCTTCTGGCCCTGAGCGCCAGTCAGACAATGCCCTGGGGGTTCCATCTTTTCTCACCACCT